GCGGGTGGGTATTTTTCTATGACCTTACACGGCTGCTCTTTGTAATGAATGCTTGGACTTGAGATGCTGAACCCTAAACCCTAAACCCTAAACCTTAAACCCTAAATCCTAACCCTCAACTTGTTGGTTTCAGATCTTCCCCTTGCAGCAGAGTCCCAGTCCTTCAGCCGGGCCAAGTGGCAATCCAAACGCTCCTGGAAGTGCCATGCCCGCTGTTACGCGGTTTGGGCTGTAAGGCTTAGGGGAATTTAGGGTTTAGGGATGTAGTCATGTCCCCCTATTTATTAAAAACCACCACCCTCATTAGTAATATCAAATATTCCAATTGTGATAGTTTTTAAATTGCGAACATTTAATGTCAGGGGAAGGGACTGCTAAACCCTAATCCCCAACCGTAAGCCAGGGCTTACGGTTCCGGATCTCCTTGAACTCATGCTGAAGTCCCCGCAGCATTGTGAGGGGACTGCCTGCTACAGGAGCAGCCCCCAGTTCCAGCCCGCGGCCGAAATTGGCGGCAGCCCACTACGTACAACTACACCTACGGCAGCAGGTGGACCGATGAGGAAAGGTTAGGGGTAAACCCTTACCACATCGGCCAGCAGGCACGCTGGGCGGACTAAGCACTGCTAAACGCATGAGGACGGAGGCCAGGAGGCCAGAGAAATCCACACTGAGAAAGGGAGCCGCGGCGACAGGCCTGTGCAAAGTGCAGGAACGATGCGGGAGCAATGCGGGCATGACAAGGCAAGTGGCAAGGGGACAGGACTGCTCAGCCGGATGCGGCGAGCTCAGACCGGCGGCGAAGCACCGCCCTCGCGCGATGGCTGCGCGCGACAACGCTCAACTCCTGCAAGAGCCGCGCATGCACAAGGGAGGCTTGGTCACCCTCGCGGGCAGCAACCGCCTGTGAAATGAGTGTGAGGATGGCCGCAGCATCACGCGACCATGCCCCTGTCGCCTCAACCACAAGGGGGTGGAAGCGGACCCCTTGGGCAGCACAAGCGTTGGCAGCATCAAGATGCATTTCCTTGGTACGAGAATATGCAGTAGCAGCAGCAAGTGCCCTTTGCCCAGCCTGGGCAAGACTTTCCTGCCGCTGCGGGGCCACCACGGCCAGATCAAGTGCAGCAGGAAAGCCCTTGAGGCTTGGCAAATAGACATCTGCAGGGCGTCGTTGGGCCAGGCGGGAGTCTTCAGGCCTTTGGGGAAGGAGGAGCCCGGGCCGCTCCTTCTCCGGTTGCAAGCCCGCCCGCTCCGCCCAAGAACAAAGGAGATCACGGAGCGCATTGTGGCGCTGATTGCGTTCGCCACCTGCGACACAGGTTGCCGCGTGCAGGGAAAACCTGTCCAGGACGCCCTGGCACTGAGGACACCACAGGTCGGAAGCGGCATCGGGCATGCCAAGTCGCTGTCGCAACTCGGCCACAAAAATGGCAGAGTCCATCCGAGTGCGCCCAACCGGGCTAGCAGCAAGGAAGGCTCTTGCGCCAGGCTCAGCCTCAGAGAGAAGCACGGCACGCGCGACAACCGAACAAGCCGCGAGCTGCTCGCGCCAGCTGGCCTCATCGGCAAGGGCGGTGAGGGTTTTCTGCTTAGCGGAAAGGGCAGCCTCAGGCGTGAGGGCCTCCGAAAGGAGGGCATTGTGGCCGGAAAGGGCTTGCAGGACATAAGGGTCCGTGGCCAGAGGGGCAGAGCTGTAAGCAGGGTCAAGCTCTCTGCAAGCGTCGGCACACCCGCCTACAGAGGCAAGGTAGGCAGCAAAGGCATCACGTGCAGCAGACCGAAGTCCGAGGCCTGCGTGAGCGAAGGCCCGCGCCGCTTGCCTGAGCTGCGCGGCATCAAGGTGGAACCCAGTGAGGCCAGCAAGACTACTGCACACGAGCGAGTCAAACCGCTGCAAGGCCCCACGCTGGCAGGTGGGAGGGGCGCACCGCATGCTATGGACTAGGCGAGTGTAACCGGCACAGGAACGCAACAGGCGAAGTCCAACCTGAGCGTCCTCGAGCTGGGCCAACGCATCCAAGAGGGGCGCGGCCGCCTCAACACGGGCATTGGTGTGGGCAGAGACGAAGGCGTCGTCCCCAATGGCTGCCCCAAGCAAATCCAAGCTGCGCTGGAAGCGGCTGGCCCCCTGAAGCAATTCTAAAGGAAGAAGTTGAGAGACCGCCGACTCCGACAAGAGCCCCGCCCCGACAACCTCACACTTGCTGAGGTTGAGCCGTAAGCCCAGAGCAGGGGCACGACGTTGCACAAGCTGGAGGGCGCGGACAACTGCGCGCACATCACCCGCGATGACCCCATCATCGAGGTAGAAAAATGCAAGGTCGAGCCCCTGTCCGCGAAGGTCCTGAGCAAGGGATTGGAGCGCGGCCGAGAAAAGCAAAGGGCCCAACGGGTCGCCCTGCTGCACGCCGCCGGCCGACTGCACTGTAGAAGCACTCCCAAACTGAAGGGCAGAGGGACGCCTATAGCACCAACCTACCCACCTAGCAAGGCCCGAAAAATGCAAGCAAGTCTCTGCGACGACTTGTTCCCTGGAGATGGTATTAAACGCGTTTGAAAAATCCAACTTGAGGAGAAGCTTGCCGGAGGAGGTGGCATTGCGGCCAAACCAGGCCCGGACTGTGTGCACGGCAGCTTCGACCCCGGCGGGCACGGCGACGCCGAGCTTCTCCTACATCTTAAGGCCCTCAGACCTAGATCCTATACTAGGTCCTATACCGCAGGCCCTGAGGCCCTAAACCTCAAAACAAAATCCCTCTTCGAGGTCCCTAGAAGGATCCGCTTGCATTCCTCAATGGGGCCTAACTTGTTCAAATTCTCGAAGGCTAGGTTCCCCAGTAACCCCTTAAGAATAAGGGTACCCTTTTTCCTACTGTTCTGGTTTAATAAGGAGACCCAAAATAAAAACGGTAAGAGGGTACCACTGGGGTACCTAGAAAGAAATATCAATAACTACCAAGGCATACTCTGTAGAGCTTGCTGAAAAAGCCTGCCGGATGCACATCATTTAAACTCACATGGATATGAAATCCCAGCACCGCAAACCCTAAGGGTCCAAGTACCCAATTATCATATACTTTCCCAAAACTTGTACTAGAATTACTATTACCCTACACCCAAGTACCTAATTATTGGGTACTTGGACCCTTAGGGAAACAAGTACAGACCCCAATCAATCACAGCCATTTTTGCACAGCCAAGGCGGCCTAAAGGCCCCGTTTTACAGGCAACATGTAAGGTTTGGGGTTGAGGGTTCATGACCCTAGGTCCAAAGGACCCAAATAATAGTGTTTTAGGGCTCAAATACTATAATATTAAGGGTATTTGGGCCCTAAAACCTATTATTTCGGTCTTTGGACCCTTAGGGTGAGATACAGTCAATATTTCCCCATATAATGAATGGACATGTCTACGGGAATATATTAGGGCCTATACTAAACTACAAGGGGGACCCTATGTCCACCCTTCATGGTCCCTCGATAAGGCTACTATTGACCGTAGCTCATGTAGGTGTATTGCGGTAGTATAGCCACATGAATCTGGCAGCGTGATATAAACCTTGGCACTCTTGATGTTATCGACAGGTGATGTGGGTTGTTCATGTGATTGTCGAAAACCTGATCTGCTGCCATTATTGCCTACCCACCAATCCGGTGGTCCTCACCTTCGCTGTCTGTTCTACCTAAAGGAAGACTTTTTGGATAGTATATTGGGGTTATATTGGGGTTATATAGGGATTCTATAGGGATTGTGGGATTACAATAGGGATCCTCATATTAAGGCCCATTTCTGGTAGATGTGAAGTTATGGTCTTCCCACAGAAGCACCCCATAGGTACACTCATCAACGATTTCCACAGGGGCCTGAAATTCCAAACTTTGCCTGCACCAACACCAACATGTAAGGCCAAAGCTTCTTGAAAAACGAATCTGAACCCTCAACTTTACTGCTGATCAGGGGAAACCTTGCGCAACTTAGGGCAGCTCGATCTTTGCAATTCCTAGGTCCAAGGATATTTTCGATTTAGGGTGGTGCAGGCTTCCCTCCAGCAACAGGATTGTTGGGGATCATCTGCTTTGGAGAAAGAGTGTTGAATTGTTACTCCAATATGCATGGCACCCAAACTTTCTGAAAGGCATGTACGCTTGGCGGACTTTTTAAGTCATCCACAAAACCCTGATGAGAAACAGCCCAAAATAGTCAACAGTGTATAGCCCAGTATGGGAGCTTCACAAAAAATTGGAAACCTTGTCTGGTGGCTCCCATGATAGGGGATTTGGCACATTAAGGCATAAGTAGACGAGGACCCCGAATACTTGCAACCCACCATATGGCTCCTGGAAAGCGTTCCCTGGTTTGTAACGTTACATGATCATGCATAACAAGCAAACGTGTCGCAAGTGTTTCCTGGCAGCATGTGCCGGATTCCGCCAAGGCCTGCTGCAAAAACCCTAAACCGTGACATCTACACCGTGACCCAAAAGCCTAAGCCCTTGACCCTTAACCTCACACCCTACACCCAGTTTTTGTATTGTTGTTTTCTTTGCGCTTTGTGGGCTTAGGGCGTGGGGCCATAGAAAGGTTTCAGGGCCTATGAAATGAATCCTGATGTAGGCGCCTACATGAAAAGAATAATGTTTTGGGCTATAAATGAATAAACAAAAATATGTGTGTATATATATATATATATACATATATATACATAGAGGTATATGCGCACATTATGCCACATATGTATGGCTAATGCAGGGCTTTTTTCGGGCACGTTTCAAGCTTCTTCAGGGGAGTTGGGGACTGAGGTTTGGGGGCTCAGGACTCAAGGCGGGCAATATCTGGGGTTAAGGTTTCGGGTTTAGGGTTTGAGGTTAAGAATTACTGAGCCTGGGGCCCAAAAGTATGTAAAATAATGGCCTTTATATCTATTATTAGGCGTTTAGGGCTATTATTTTACATACTTTTGGGGTTTAGGTAAAGCATAATGTTTAGTGCTGGCTTCAAAGTTGACAGCCCTTAGGACCCTGAGATACCCTGAGAAGATGTCTCGCTTATTCCTGGGTTCATGCTTCTCCTACTTAAGTACGGTAATAACCCCTATAACCCATATAAGAACCCTAGTTATAGTTATCCTCAATATCAACCCACTTATTAAGTCCCCCCGACCCTCCAAGTAGGATCCCAATCCTAAACTCTGAGCCCTAAACCCTAAGAAATACACTTAGAGACACTTCTCCAACCTGCTTGAAGCTTGTCAGTTCAAGATAGCAGGTAAACGAAAGGTCTTCAGGTTGTGAGTAGGGTTTAGGATTTAGGGTTTAGGGTTAGATGGTAGTCTACGTCAAAGGAGGGGCCCAATATGCCCCAAAAACCGGAACCGCCCATTTCTGGAAATCCCAAGCTAGGCTGCCTAACCCCTAAACGCGTGAGCTAGGTTACTAAAATCCGGCCAGGGCCTTTTGGGTTTAGTTGAGGCTTTGGAGCATCAGTCTTCTTGACATGGTTTTTGAGACGGCTCGGATTCTTTGTTTTGTGACTTCAAAGCACCCCCAGGCCTAATCAAAGGGTATGTAGGTATGAGGAACTGGGACACTCTAAGTCAGGCCTGCGGGCCCGCTTGGGTTTAGGGTTAAGGGCTTTCAGGTTAAGGGCTTAGGGTTCAGGTTTCAGGGTTTAGGACTCCATCGCCCCTGCCATTCTGTATACTGAGCGCTTGGGAGTAAACCAATGAATGAATCCAAGTTATTCTCATTGGAGATTGGGCATGCGAAAGTCCATAGCGACATAGGCTTCTAGAAACCCTAAACACTGGGTCATTCCCCCTAACGGTAACTGTCACCACAATGGGTTATAGGAGTTATAAGAACCCCTTTAATAAGGCCCCTTTAAGGACAGTTACAGGGTGGGGGAATGACCCAACCTAAACCCTAAACCCTAAACCCCCCTAAACCCTAAACCCTAAACCCCCCTAAACCCTAAACCCTAAACCCTACACCCTACACCCTAAACCCCCCTAAACCCTAAACCCTAAACCCTAAACCTTTACGGTTTATGCTTTCACCTCCCAGCAGTGCCCCCTCGGTAGCAATCGAGATAGGAGGCGGGGTATTCCCTGTTTGAGTACTGGCCCTCAACCCTAATCCTTAGAAGGACCCCCCACCCTGTAATAGTGACTATTATGGATAATACGGAATATATTAGGGTCCTCTTATATTCCTATTATACCACTATTACAGGGTGGGGGGTCCTCCTAACCTAAACCCTAAATCAGGGTTTAGGGGTCAGGGTGTTGGGCAAACTCCTTGCGGTACCCCTAATTAATAAATCCCATCCCCTTAATAGGGATTATAATAGGGATCCTAATACTGCTGCAGCTGCGTACAGGTTTGAAGCCTGATCCGGGTCCGGCAAGTTGCCTGTGATCAGAGCCTCCACAGCGTTGCCCTGCGAGTACAAGTAGACCTGCGACTCGTGGGTTATGGCCGCTTCTCTGTGGTTTGGCCGCGCGGACGGTGGCATGCTAGCTGTCAGCGCTTCGCCGGGAAAAATCCGAGTGCTGGCCGCAACATTGTGGATAGCCCTGCCTATCACAGCGAAACCACACATGCTGTCCAGAGGCAGAACGGGCTTCTGAGCAGGCAGGAGACCAGCGTCAGACTCATGCATCCAACCGATCGGCACTGTTGCCACCGATGCCGTTGCACTTGATGCTGAAGCAGTCTGCGCTGCCACAGGCGGGGATCCTACAAATTTTGGCAACGCGACCGCTGTTGCTTTAGCATAAGCGTGTGTCTTCGCAGGGGCGGTCCAAGGCTTCGGGGGCATGTCTGAGACAGCGTGTAGGCTTGTCCTGCCAGTACTTGTTCCGCTGAAGGGGGTCTGCTTGAGCTATGGCATTGATCCAAATCAGTAGCTACTAAGTCCCATAAGAGCCATAGTCTAAACCCATTAGTATCCCCCTGAAAAATCCCTATATCACTCCCCTAAACGACCCTCTATATATATATATATAACATATAACCCCCTTCAACGAGTTTAGACCCGGAACCCTAAATCCTAAACCCTAAACCCTAATCCCTAAACCCTAATCCCTAAACCCTGAACCCATATAACCCCCCTTCAAGGAGTCTAGATTACGTCTCATAAGTCTTCAGGCAGTGGATGCAACGCGGTGGTCGGAGTCTCCGAGCCCAGGAGTGGCGGAGGGGCTTAGGATTTAAAGCTTACAGGATTTAGGGTTCAGGATTTAGGGATTAGGGTTTAAGATTTAGGGTTTAGATTTAGGGTTGAGGATTTAGGTTTTAGGATTTAGGATTTAGAGTGTAGGTTTTAGCGTTTAGGGTGTAGGGTTTAGGGTTAAGTTTGCTTGCAAAGCAAAACGCATACAGGGCCTAGGAGTAGGGAATTCGAGGGTTTGGGGTCAGATTCGTCTGGGAGATCCGATCCATACAGGGCTTAGGATCTAAGGTTTGCAGAGCGTACATTCAAGTTTGTTTGCAAAATCCATACAAACTAGGGATTTCAGAGTTTAGGAGGGTCAAGCTTGCTTGCAAGTTCCGGGCTGGAATCGTGCAGGCCATTATGGTTGACTACTCCCACCACCATACTTGCGGGAGTTTCCAGGAGGTAGCACTTCCTTGCGGGATCATATCATAAAGCTTCCTTACGACTTGGCCG